GGAGAAGGGTGCAACAATGAATGAATGGAATCCCAAAATCTCTGTAGATGTTCATTGAAATGAAAAATAAACAACCTAAATTTAAAAAAAAATGCAATCAATATACAAAAACCAATTGCATTCCTTTACAGTGACAAAGAGAATACAGAATTGGAGCTAAGAGAAACAATACCCTTTACAGTTGTTAATCACAATATTAAATACCTGGGAGTAAAGCTAATCAGAAACACAAAGTATCTATTCAAAGAAAATTACAAAACATTACAACAAGAAACAAAGAGACTTGGAGAAGTGAAAAAATATCCTTGCTCATGGATAGGAAGACCCAATAGTGTGAAAATGACAATACTGCCAAGGCAACTTACAAATTCAATGCAATCCCAAAACAAATAACAATTTCATTCTTCAATGAGATGGAAAAGGTTATCCCCAATTTCATGTGGAATGGAAAGAGGCCTCAAAAAGCAAAGCACTACTTAAAAAAAGAAACAAGGTGGGAGGCATCTCATTTCCTGATTTTAAATCCTACTACACTGTCATGGTGGCCAAGACAGCGTAGTACTGGTACAATGACAGACACATAGAGCAATGGAATAGACTTGAGAATCCAGAAATCAGCTCATCTACCTATGGTCAACTGATTTTTGACAAGGAGATGAAATCAGTCAAGTGGGGAAAAGACAACCTTTTAAACAAATGATGCTGGCAAAATTAGAAAACTATCTGCAGAAAACTCAAGCATGATCCACACCTCACTCCATACACAAAACCGACACAAAGTGGATCATGGACCTAAGATTAAAACCAAGGGCTATAAACTTCATTAAAGAAAAGCTTGGAAGAACCGTAGAAGCCCTAATCCACTACATAAACAGTCTTCGAAGCATCCTGGAAAATCTACAACCAGGAGAGGATAAAATAGATGAATGGAATCGTCTAAGAATCAAATCCCTGTGCACATACCAAAACTTCTCCAACAGGATAAAAAGGGAAGCCACAGATTGGGGAAAAAAATATTTGGTGATGACATGTCAGATAAGGGACTTCTATCTAGAACACTTGAGCAGTGTAACAAGATAAAGATAAACAACCCAAT